GTTAAAGCAAGATCTGGAAGACTAAGAAAAATATCAGACAGAACAGCTCGCAGGATTGTGAGAAAAACTATTCAAAAACCACGTTTGACTGCACGATCCCTCCAGAAAGATCTGGCAGACACTGGAGTTGGGGTATACTATTCCACTATAAAGAGATACTTGTACAAATATGGTCTTCATGGAAGAGTCATCAGAAGAAAACCTCTTCTACGTCCTCACCACAAAAATCATCGTTTGAACATTGCAAATGAACATATAGACAAGCCTGATGCATTTTGGAAACAAGTTCTGTGGAACGATGAGGTTAAAATTGAACTTTTTGGCCGGAATGAGCAAAGGTACGTTTGGAGAAGAAGGGGCACAGAATTTAATGAAAAGAACCTCTGTCCAACTGTTAAGCATGGGGTTGGATCAATCATGGTTTGGGGTTGTGTTGCAGCCAGTGGCACAGGGAACATCTCACGAGTAGAAGGAAAAATCAAGGAGCTTACAATCTAATGTCCCTATGTTGCATACATATAATTACTAGGGCCAATTTTCCTACCAGCATGTCTTTCGAGTGTGGAAGGAAACTGGAGTACCCAGAGAAAACCCATGCAACTACAGAGAGAACATCCAAACTCCATGCAGATTGTGTCCTAGCTGGCCAGGATTTGAACTGAATACCCCAGTGCTGATATCAGAAGTACTGATTTAATTCATTTTGAGTACATGCACCTGAGCATTCTTGGCATTTTCTATGCCTATCCTAAATTTCCTGGCACTTTCCTGGGCCCAGGGCGTGGCAGTTGCTGTATACAGCCTGAGCCTGAACTTCCAGGTTCAGCAAATATGTTGCATGCACAAGCCCGGGTAAACGCCAATACAAAGAAGCGGCAGCATTTACAAGAATACGGCTGCGTACACATATTCACCTGCAGGGTTTTGTATGGACATGGCAGCACATTCATTTGGATGGGCCGCTAAGTCTCCAGAACAAGCAAGGAAAAGATTCCTGCACCTTTTTTGAAATAATGGCCCACATGAAAACCACAAATGCAGTGTGGTTCCTAGTGCAAGAAGCCGTTCTGCAATTTCCAGTGCGTGGGGGAGCCATTAGGATTAATGGCATCCCCATGCATCTGAGTGGCAGCAAGTTTTTCGGTGTGGGTGGTTGCAGCTGCAGGAACAAGTGTGGTCCCACAGTGGCAATCACCTGCACAGGTGTGAACTTAGTCTTAGGGCTTGTTCAGACATGTAGCAGGGGCAGTAAAAACTGACTAATTCTCACAATTCTCTAAAATACTAGATTCTTTTACTTTTTTTTTCTGTGTCCCATCTGGAAGAGTTTCCAGCACTTCCTGTTCTGTCTGACACTTGTCCAAACGACAGGCGGTAAAGAACAATTTACCAAATGGGGCACATACAGCAGGTCATGGCTAAACCAGCTAGAATTATTTACAGCTACAAAAAACACTGAGGTCCTAAACATGTTTCCATAGTTTATCCAAAACTGAAAGGAAACCTTTTGCCTGGCGTTGGGTTAATAGCAAACGGCATAAAAGCAAATGTGTATAGTAAACCAATCAAAATCATTTTCCAGTATTCTGCCAACAGTACTCATGAAAGCTAAACCATTGCTGATTGCTAATTATCACCAAGCTTTTAAACAAAGGTAACTAGCTGAATCGTGACTTGTAGAGACTTGACTAATATAAATATGATAGTTCTCTCAGTCACTTATATGTATTCCTGATTGAGATGAACAAATTCTTTAGGGCTGTCAAGTCCAGGCCAAGATCTGTTATGAAAAGAATGTATGCCTATAGCCATGTAATATCAATTCTGGCTAAACGCTAATCTGTCTTGTGAATGTGTGACGATGTTCTAAGCTAAGGACATCCACTCAGGAAACTAAGGCAGAACTGTACCAGGATTTATTTGCAGTCATTCTCCGGCATCCATAAAGCCATCCACAGGTATTGAATCTGTCCAATCTGCAGAGGGAATGTGTGCCATAACAAATGAGAAGCATTGTGAATCCATAGAAATCCATGTTGAATCATTGATAGAAACCTTCAGTTATTGATTTTAAGTGGCTAACAATTCAGATTAGGGACAGCAAACATAACACTTAGCATATTAAACAGTCATGGCCAAAAATATTGTCACGACTGCATTTCTGTCAGATAATGTACCACTTTGCCCAGAAAATTGTTGCAATTACAAATGTTTCACCATTCTCATGTTTATTTCTTTTGTTTATATTGGTATGACCAAAAAAAGAAAATGGAGAAACAAAAAGCCAAATCTGACACATTCCACGCAAAACCCCAAAAATGGACTTGACAAATTGGCACCCTCAATTTGTTATTTGGCTGCACACCCCTTGGCAAATATAACTGAAATCAATTGCTTCCTGCAACCATCAATGAGTTTCTTACACCTCAATACTTGAATTTTGGAGTACTCTTCTTTCGCTAACTACTCCAGTTCTCTCAGATTGGAAGAGTTCCCTTTCCCAACTGCTGTTTTGAGATCTCTCCACGAGTGCTCTATGGGATTGAGATCTGGACTCATTGCTGGCCAGTTTAGTGCTCTCCAGTGCTTTGTCTTAAACCATTTCTGGGTATTTTTTGACGTGCTTTGGGTCATTGTCCGGCTGTAAGATCCATAACCTACGACGGAGACCCAACTTTCTGACACTAGCCCCTGCATTGCACCCCAGAATTATTTGGTGGTCTTCAGATTTCATAGTGCCATGCACACGGTCAAGACATCCAGTGCCTGAAGCAGCAAAGCAACCCTAAAATTTCAGTGAACCTCCACCATGTTTTTCTGAAAACAGTAGAATGATGGGCTTTACCAAAAAGCAGTAATTTTGTTTCTTCTGTCCCTAGCACATTCTCCCAAAATGATTTTGGCTTCCTCAGGTAAGTTTTGACAATCTCCAATGTGGCTTTATGTTTGTGTCAGCAGTGGGGGTCCTCCTGGGTCTCCTACCATATTGTCCCTTTTCATCCAGTTTGCAATGTATAGTGCGAGCTGACACAGTTGTACCCTGTACCTGAAGGTCAGCTTGAATTTGTCTAAAAGTTGATCGAAGTTCTTTATCCACCATTCGAACAATCCTTTGTTACAATCTTTGATCAATGTTTCTCTTTCATCCACGTCCAGGGAGATTAGCTATAGTGCCATGGGCTGTGTGCACAGTGGACACAAGAACATTAAGATCTCTGGTGATGGACATGCAACCTTGAGATTGTCCATGCTTTTCCACAATTTGTGTTCTCAAATCCTCAGACAATTCTTTGCTGCTCTTTCTCTTCTTCATGCTCCATGTGGCACACAGAGACACAGCAGAAAGACTAAGTTGATCTTTCACCATTTTAACTGGTTGCTGGTGTGATTTCTATATTGTCAGCCCGTTAGTTGATACAGGAGAATTTAAATACAAATTACAGGAGCATCATCAACTTGGAAAGCAATTATTTCTTACAACTTTGAGAAGGTGCAAATCATTTTGTCCAGTCCATTTTTGGGGTTTTGTGTAGAATGTGTTAGATTTGGCTTTTTATTTCTCCACTTTTTTGTATCATATCAATGCAAACAAAAGAAATAAACATGAGAATGCCTAAACATTTGTAATTGCAACAATTTTTTGGGGGGGGGAGAGAGAGAGAGAGGGGGGAGAGAGAGAGAGAGAGAGAGAGAAGGACCTTATTCTCCTATATTGATCTTTATATAGAGGAATCACCAGCAGATTGAAGGAGGTCCTGATTCCCCTATATATCATCTCATTTAGAATACTGTGTTAAATTCTGTAGACCTCACAAAACAAAATTGAAAAGACCGAATAAGTCTAAAGACAGATAACAGATTGGTTCTTCTCTCCTGCTGTCACATTTAAAATTGGTACGGCTGTGTGGAGCTCTGCCTATACGTCTGCATCATCCATTTAAAGGCATCTGCGAATTAATGAACTACAAGTCCTGTCTGCCACTGAAGTAGACAGATTTGTAGTTCTCAATGGAATACTAGTGCAGTAATCCGCACACAAGGTAGATTTGTATAATTGTGGTTATTGGGAAAATATTTAAATTATGGTTTTTGTTCTTAGAGTTCAGCTTTATGCATGTGATTAAGGTTCAGGAAAGTAGTATTTTTAATATGAATCAAGAACACAGACATGACTGACAGGAGGAGGGTTCACAGAAAGTACTATTTTACTGAAAGAATAGTTGATGCTTGGAAGACTTCCAACAAGAGTCATTCAACAGTAAGTGGACTGAAATACGCTTTGAGCAAACATACATATCGTGAAATAAAATGTATCTTTCCATTTATTTGTCTAATGTAATAGAATCTGATAAATTAGTGGTTTTCCAGTCTGCCTATCACCTCTGTATCTTTCCCTCCCAAGGGGTTTTGGAAGCAAAATCACTTTTTAGCTCCCCCTAAATCCGCATGTTAGTTATTAAATGAAATACTAATTTAAAGTCAAAGCTCATCTTTTTTTCTGTAAACGTTCCTAGCAGATTTAGCTTCCTTTGCATATTAGGAAAGAATAACCCATGTGAAACACTCACTATTAAATAATGTACTCTAGTATTTATCTTGCCTATTCAGATTTCGTAGAAATTACAGGCCCCATGTCTCTACACACAAGACACTTCACAGGACACTGCAGAGAATGTTCTAGCAACAAAGTTGGTAAAGATGATCTGGGTGGGAGCAGCAGTGACTCACAATAACCCTCTTTAGATTTTTCTATATCCCTCTCATCCATGCTTTTACAGGCCTGCTCCTCTCAGAGATCACAGCACATTCCTTCAGGCTGTAGACAGAAAAGTTATTTCTAGCAAGAAGTTTCAAGTGTAAGGAAGGGGATGTGTCACCAACACGTCATTACCTGCTCAACCTGTTTTTCTCTCTGCTGCCTTTTTTCAAATAGAAGAGCCCCCCCACCTACAAGATCTTTCATTACTCCTGGAGTGTCCTTTCACAACTCTTGCTGCAAAATGACAGCCTTCAAGGGAATATGGACCAGAGAATTCTGGACTTCAATGGCTGGAGAATTCTTAGCGGTCTTCTTATTTTTGGTAATTAGTTTGGGATCCACAGCAAATATGAATGTAACAGGAAACAGTGAAACCCACATTGCCTTCTGCTTTGGACTGAGTATTGCCATATTAATTCACTGCTTTGGACATATATGTGAAGCTTTCCTGAACCCTGCGGTAGCAATGGCCATGATATGTACCAAGAAAATTTCAGTGGCAAAAGGACTCTTCTATGTTCTCGTTCAGTGCCTGGGGGCAATAGCTGGAGCTGGAGCAGTGGCCCTCATTACCCCACAAGAGAAATGGCCAGTCGGTGTCACCAAGGTGAGTGTAAAGAATGATAGAGGAAAGAGCTTGAAAGTCTCCCTAGTTTTGTAGCAGATCTTTAGTTTTAGTAAGAAATTGTGGGTCTGTATAGGAAAATATAGTCATCCTACTAATTTTCTCAAAGGATACTGAAAAGAAAATAAAGTTGGGAATGGTCTAATGCTGTTTTATAGTGATGCTTTCCCACTCCCGTAATTACCGATTTTGTTTTTAAGTCAGCCTTTTTCAACCAGGGTTTTTCTAGAGTTTTCTAGGGGTTCCTTGAGCATTAATCAGTTTTTACCACTGACACCAGTGATGTTTCTCACTATCCACCAATTAAAAAACAATATTCCCACCAGTCACCACGCAAATATGTCCAGAGCCGTTGGTATAGTAATTACTGGTAGGGGTTCCCTGAAAACTAAACGTTATATCAAGGGTTCCCTATGTTAAAAAGGATGAGACAGCTGTTTTCATACTGCAGTTTCAGTACACAGATAAGATGTCCTAGGTGGGGAACACCTAGTACTGTGCCCTATGGAAAATACAGCCAGCCCTACATGTAAGCACAGATATACTGCAAAGCTATAACGTCACAGAACAGTACACTTACAATATGCAGACACACTAAAATAATATGGGAATAAATCCTACACATTTATTTTTTTTTTTTCCCCAGGTTTCTTCAAAGAATCACATATTCAATTATTGATATGGTTCCTGTAATTAAATCTTTTTTTCTCCTTGGAAATCAGGAATCATAATCTGTTTTGAGATCCCGAAGGAGTTAGGAAAGGCTGTTCTCTAGCAAAGGTGTGCCCTACAGCAAGGAACGCCATAACAGCCTCGGAAATGGATTATTTGATTATTTATTTTGATTTCTACTGATATTGAGATTTAATTCTGTGATTGTACTTTATTATTAAAATGCAGTGTAGAATTGTTACATTTCAGCAGGTATGTCATCTTAAATACTCTTTTGTTACGTATGCCTGTTTAAAGTGTTATTAAACCCACAACAGTGAAATCAGTCTGTATATGCAGTAAAAGCATGCTTGTTATACTACTTCTCGTGTAACCTAAGGGGTTAATCCTCCGCATTGTTTAAAAAGGCTGTTTGATCCTGTCTTCTCTGATCCTCACCTTCGTCCACAGTCCCCCAATATATCTGCTGATAGTACAGAGCCCTAGGAGGCACTGTGCACATACTCAGTTTGGTGCAATCTCTCACTTTCCCAATCAGCACTATCCAGAGAGAGGGTCAGGGGTCATGCAGCCTCATAGGACAGTCAGAGGAGAATGAAAGCTCCTCCTACAAGATTAACCAGTGCTCAGCCAAACACTGATAGAAGTCACAAGCCTGCTATATACTGCTGATGATAAAAGTTATTTAGCAGTTTATATTTACTAAAGTATCTCCATTTCCATGTTCTGTGTACTGTGAGAGACCAGATATAGTGAATGCAGGATCCTGGGTTTAGTAACACTTTAAAGAACAACCCGAACAACCCCCATCACTGATACTCATCTTCCTATGCTCCCCCACTTTTCCATATGTCTGTTGTAGTCAGGAGCTCTAACCTTCTCCATGTTGGATGGTTTTGGAGCTTGCACAGGGTTAATGACTTTTGCCACTTACAGTATTTGGGCCTGGTAATTGGCCACTCAGGATTGAACACTGCAGTCTGAAAGGAGGTATCATGCTCTTCCATCCTCTAAAGCATTGTTAATTTCAAAGCAATGACGCATTTTAGGGGAGTATCAGCAGGTTAGGGTGCGTGCGTTTGTCTTTTATAGAGAATCTGTCACTCATAGGTAAAGTGACAGAGTCTCTTTAAAGCCTAAATACAACTAGGACATTTTTGATAGGATAGGGAAGGGTTACAACCTCCATCTAACTTCCAGGGTAGGGAAGGGTTACAACCTTCATCTAGCCTCCAAGTAGGGAAGGATACAGCCTTCATCTAACCTCCAGGTGGGGAAGGGTTATGACCTCCATCTAGCCTTCAGGGTAGGGAAAGGTTATGATCTCTATCTAACCTCCAGGTAGGGAAGGGATACAATCTCCATCTAACCTCCAGGTAGGGAAGGGGTACAATCTCCATCTAACCTCCAGGGTAGGGAAGGGTTATGACCTCTATCTAACCTCCAGGTAGGGAAGGGATACAATTTCCATCTAACCTCCAGGGTAGGGAAGGGTTACAACCTCCTATAACCTCCAGGTAGGGAAGGGATACAATCTCCATATAACCTCCAGGGTAGGGAAGGGTTACAACCTCCTATAACCTCCAGGTAATGAAGGGATAACACCTCCATCTTAGCTCTAGGGCAGGGGCAGGGTCATACTCTCTATCATAATTTTGCTTACCTTTTGGTTGTAACCCCACAGAAAAGATTTCTTTCATTTTCTGACTTTGTGATACTAGGTTGTTCCATATGAAAAAAGAGGTTCCACATAAAAAGCTGTTTTCTTGCTGTCTCAGATATTATTGGAGTTATTTGTCATCACTTCATCTGTGAAAGTTCTCATTGTCCAGGTCATGGTATAACTAGTAGTATTATCTCACATTTTACTGGGTGGTCTGAGGAAGTTCTGTTTTGTAATGGGTGAGCGGTTTCTGATCTGTACAAAATTGCCTCTACTATATAGGTTATTGGTCAATATGGCAACTGCTGCCAGCTGCCTAAACGCGCTATTTCTGGAAGAAATTATGTATTCACAAATAGTTCATTCAAATGCTAAAGCTTTCTTTCTGCTGCAGGAGAATGTGACTATCTCACACGGACAAGCTCTCCTGGTGGAAACGATCATCACTTTTCAGCTGGTCTTCACAATTTTTGCTTCATGCGACAAGAAAAGGACTGATATTAAAGTCCCCATTCCTCTAATCATTGGCTTTTCAGTTACCATTGGACATCTTTTTGCAGTAAGTGAAATTGTTCTAAAACCTTTGATAGAAACTAGGCTAATTTTTATATAGTCTGCTGAGGGCCATGGACATCTCTGTCCTAGAAGGACATGTGATCTAGATGAAGTTAACTCAAAGGTGTAGAGCTATTCAGTGAGTTCACACCAACCAGAGAGTGCGTTTTCAAGACATGATGGCCCATTTTTATTTACATTTCAATCTGTTTGTTAATTTTTTTTCAAACAATACAAAGCAAATGCTCCATAAATGTTCTGGTTACAAAAACAACAAGCAACATGTAGGTGAACAAAAGTGAAAATCTCCTATATGTAAAGAAAGAGTACATTTGTCAGTGGCAATTCTTATTCCTATAAAGTGCACCTTATGAGCAGGTCGGACATCACAATACTTAAAGCACCCATCATACAGTATGTGCAAGGTATGAAGCAGAGCATCCACTTTTATTTAAAATGAAATAAAATTTGAAACACTTGCAGGGGGGTTCCACCATCATTTCAAAACGTGAAACTAAATTATAAACCTCATGGGTCTCTCTTGCAGTGCTACTATTTACATTGTGGCAGGGCCGAGCAGTATCACAGACATTGATTTATGTGTTTATTGCAAGTACTTATATAACACCATCAATTTACATGTATATATTGTACATTCACATCAGCCCCTAACCCTCAAGGGGCGTACAATCTAAGGTCCCTAATTCACATTCATACATACTAGGGTCAATTTAGGCAGGAACCAATTAATCTACTAGCATGTCTTTGGAGTGTGCGAGGAAACCCATGCAGACACAGGGAGAACAGATATCAGAAGGAAATACAGATCCCCACGTTCTAGAGGTTGTTTAAGTGAGCCATGTAGCTTAGCTATGTGTTTTTGGAGTGTGAAAGCGCCATTACAGTGAATGTAAAGTCAAACCTTTTCTTGTTTTCCTTTATTAAGAAGTGGTTAAGACCCAATTATGTTTTTGCTGTTTGTGTCCAACCATGGAAATTCCCTTTACTTAAAATCTTAGAGATATAACAGGAAATCTTTCCATTGCAAAAGAAAATCCCAGTGTAGACAACTGTCACTGCAACATGTTCCGCTATTGGAAGATTTCCCTCACCTCCTGTTCCTGTGACAACTTACATAGGAACTAAAGTCAAGATTACTCTCCTGTACTCCAACAGTCCATCATCTGTGAGGTTCCTCACTAGTACCAGCATCTTCTCTCTGGCTTCTCCCTGGTGCAGGTCTTTGACTGTCTTAATTGGCCAGCACAGGATGAAGCGACTCTTGAGCATGGCATTGGGATGGAAATGTAAGCTGAGCTGCGCATGAGCAGCTCAGTATACATTCTGTAGAATACTGTGAATAGGCAGATAAGTTCATTTTATTGCAGAAGAGAAAAATGGAGCCTAACGGACCTACGTTTGATCTATCCATTTACATTGTTGTACCTGCAATCCATCCCATTCAGTTCCAAAAGAAAAAAAAAAAGTGAAATGGACACAAACCTTTTCCATTTTTTTTGTTTGTTTTCAAACCTAAACAGACTCTGCATTCCTTGCATGCTTTGCAGACTCTACTCTGCTGTTTACTTTCCATTTCTAAGGACTACATATCCCATGGTACCTTTCTCCCTGCAAGCAGTGATTCCTGTACTGGCTCCGCCTCCTGAAGCTCCTACTCTCAGCACCTCTGTGGTTCAGAAGGCAGGCTCTGTGAAATGTGTGACACAGCAGCACCTACTCACATCGCATAGTGTCTGTGTCACAGAATTCAAGGAAGTAAATGTGGATGAATCATATTAATAATAGACTAGAAATAATTGAAATAAAACATGGAAGGGATTATATGATCGTATGATTTTACATTTTGGCTATAGATACATTTAAAAAAAAAGTGTGTAAATAATAAAAAAAAAGCAAACATCTGTACTCACCTCCCTGATGTAGCATTGGTCTGATGCTGCAGCTGTCCCTTGCCAGCTCTCAGCCTAAGAACTGAACAATCACATGATTGCTGATCACTCAGTTCTCAGTCACCTCTTAGCAGAGAGTAGTGACTATCACTTAGGCTAGGTTCACATCTGTGCAGGTGGGTCTGCTGTGGATCCGCATGAAGATCCGTGCAGCTGCACCACCCGCACAGAGGAATGCAGACCCGCGGGCGGGTGCCATTAGTTTCTAATGGCAGGCCGCCCACACTGGAAAAAGCCATGCTGGGAACCGAGGTTCCCGTGCGGGCTGCGTTTTCAGAAGAAGTGCAGGGACTTCTTCTTTGCATGTCACGGGCATGGGAGTCCATTCAAATGAATGGGCTCTCGTGTCCGTGCAAAAAACGCGGCCTGCACGGACGCATATATGTGAAGCAGGGCTTACTGCTCTCTGCTTTGTCCCTCCAGCACTCAATGGAGTGCTAGGCTGGGGAGGGTGCTCTGAGAGGCTGAGCCAGCTGCCAGTCAGGCATCTGGGTGGATCCCAACGTTATTTCAGGATCCTTACAGGGACTCGAGTGGCTCGGCTGATTCTAGGTCACAGGAGTGCAATAGAAAGTACATTCCTGTGATCCAGAAGTGAAGTATGGCCAAAAATCTTTGGCCATACTTCTCTTTTAAAGAACATAAGTAGAAATGTCTTATTTATCTGTTGTGTCTACTTGTACAGTTCACTGATAGTAAGTTAGAGGATTGAATTTTTAGTTTGCCTCCCACAACCAAGTTTACAAAATGTGAAATATTTGTTGATGTGTAAATACTTGTCACAAGATTTTTAGTGTTTTCAAGTTATAGTATTGATATATTTCCCCAATACAAATAACCTGTTGTACTAGTGGGGAGTACAGGAATGTGTCTTACTCCACCCTGATTGCATCATTTAGGTGTATGTTTAATAAACCGTGAAAAGGAGAAGATTTTTCACTGCTTATCTTAGTGATACACCCTTATAAGGTGTTCAATTAATGGTGATAAACCAGGTAGGAACTAAAAAACAAGGAATATTTTGTGTTCTCTGAAGACAATAAATGCTCGGTGATAAGTACAGAGAAAGTAATAGGAATGTACCTGCTTGACCTGTTGTTGAATGTGTCTAGTTTGTCCAGAGCTTGAAGAAGGTAAAACAAGCTCATGACTGCAATAGCAGCTATGAGCTTCTATTAGTTTTGTTCGCCTGTCTATAGATTGCTTTTACAGTGAAGGAAATAAGTATTTGATCCCCTGCTGATTTTGAATGTTTCCCCACCCACAAAGAAATGATCGGTCTAAAAATCGGATGGTAGGTGTATTGTAACACTGAGAGACAGAATAGCAACAAAAAAAATTCAAAAGAAATGCATGTCTAACAAATTATACACTGATTTGCATGTTCATAAGGGAAATAAGTATTTACCGTATTTTTCGCTCCATAAGACGCACTTTTTTCCGCCCAAAAAAAGGGGGAAAATGTCAGTGCGTCTTCTGGAGTGAATATAAAGTGGCTGGTCTGGTATTTCTGCCGCCACCATGTCAGAATATCGGGCCGGCCGCTCAGCTCTTCTCTCCTGCATGACCTTACCTGTTCCTCGCTCCAGCGCAGTACGGTCTTCTCACGCCGGCTTCTGTGACAGCCGGGTGCCCACTGCACATGCGCGAGAAGCGCTGCGCTTTGTGAATGGTCCGGTGTCTTCTGGGACACATGACAGGTCACAAGAGGAAAGGACAACTCTGCGGAAGTGGGAGCGGGTACCTGCAAATTCAGGTACCCGCTCCCCCTCCATCCTCAAAGGTCCTCTTTCTCTGGTCATCTCCTTTACTATCTGCAGTCTCTGGTCATCCCCTGCACTATCTGCAGTCTCTGGTCATCTGTACTATGTCCCTGGTATTTTCCCTGTACTATGTCCGCAGTCTCTGGTCATCTCCAGTACTATGTCCGCAGTCTCTGGTCATCTCCTGTACTGTGTCCGCAGTCTCTGGTCATTCCCTGTACTGTGTCTGCAGTCTCTGGTCATTCCCTGTACTGTGTCTGCAGTCTCTGGTCATTCCCTGTACTGTGTCCGCAGTCTCTGGTCATTCCCTGTACTGTGTCCGCAGTCTCTGGTCATCTCCTGTACTATGTCCGCAGTCTCTGGTCATCTGTACTATGTCTCTGGTCATTCCCTGTACTGTGTCCGCAGTCTCTGGTCATCTCCTGTACTATGTCTGCAGTCTCTGGTCATGTCCTGTACTGTGTCCGCAGTCTCTGGTCATTCCTGTACTGTGTCTGCAGTCTCTGGTCATTCCCTGTACTGTGTCTGCAGTCTCTGGTCATTCCCTGTACTGTGTCCGCAGTCTCTGGTCATTCCCTGTACTGTGTCCGCAGTCTCTGGTCATCTCCTGTACTATGTCCGCAGTCTCTGGTCATCTGTACTATGTCTCTGGTCATTCCCTGTACTGTGTCCGCAGTCTCTGGTCATCTCCTGTACTATGTCTGCAGTCTCTGGTCATGTCCTGTACTGTGTCCGCAGTCTCTGGTCATCTGTACTATGTCCACAGTCTCTGGTCATTCCCTGTACTGTGTCCGCAGTCTCTGGTCATCTCCTGTACTGTGTCCACAGTCTCTGGTCATTCCCTGTACTGTGTCCGCAGTCTCTGGTCATCTCCTGTACTGTGTCCACAGTCTCTGGTCATCTCCTGTACTATGTTCGCAGTCTCTGGTCATCTGTACTATGTCTCTGGTCATTCCCTGTACTGTGTCCGCAGTCTCTGGTCATCCCCTGTACTGTGTCTGCAGTCTCTGGTCATCTCCTGTACTGTGTCTGCAGTCTCTGGTCATCTCCTGTACTGTGTCTGCAGTCTCTGGTCATCTCCTGTACTGTGTCTGCAGTCTCTGGTCATCTCCTGTACTGTGTCCGCAGTCTCTGGTCATGTCCTGTACTGTGTCCGCAGTCTCTGGTCATCTCCTGTACTGTGTCCGCAGTCTCTGGTCATCTCCTGTACTGTGTCCGCAGTCTCTGGTCATCTCCTGTACTGTGTCCGCAGTCTCTGGTCATTTCCTGTA